AATCTCAGCTCCCTGCAACCTCCTCCGCCTCCCTGGTTCAAGTGATTCTCCTTCCTCAGCCTCCTGAGTAGCTGGGATTACAGGCATGCATCACCATGCCCAGCTCATTTTTGTTTTTAGTAGAGATGGGGTTTCTCCATGTTGGTCAGGCTGGTCTTGAACTCCTGACCTCAGGTGACCCACCCACTTAAGCCTCCCAAAGTGCTGGGATTACAGGTGTAAGCCATTGCACCTGGCCAGATTACTTATTTATTTTAGAAGCAGTGTGTATAGATTGCTTATTTAAAAACCTAATAGTAAAAAAGAGAAAAAAATAGGAAAGTTGGTTAGAGGGAATACCAGAACATTTAAATTTCTCCCCACATAAAAGAGAAACTGCTTATTGTATAAGGGGCACTGGACTTAAGCTCTTATACGTAAATTAGTAACAGGTAAAGAAAAGATTGAGTACCAGCGACCAGGGAGGTAGGTGGCTGCTGACATGAACAGATATAAATTTGATACTACATAACACATATATCTAATGAAATTGCACTGTTTCATCACCTACTTTTTGACTTCACATTGATCATTTTTCTCTGTTTGTGTTCTACATGCTTACTTGCTAACTTCATAGTGTTCTGTGTACCATAGCTATGTAATCAGTCTGGTCAGTATTTTAAGTTTTTCTTTTGCTGGTATAGGTGTTTGCAGTGAATACTTGTCTACATATGTTACATACGTCTTTTTATACAACACTCATGGTTTCCTAGAAGTAGAATTTAGGTTAAAGGTTATGAACACTAGGCTCTTTGCTTGCTCCCTCCACCACCGTATCCTCACTAGAGGTTAGAGGGTTCATTTCCTTGTCCCCTTACTAATTTCATTATGTATGAAACAATCTGTCAATAGGTTAAAAACACCTTTTTTTAAATTAGTTACTGGTTTATCCTTTTTGACTAGTAATCATGTTTGTTTTTCTGTGGTAGGATTGTCTTTTACTGATTTTATAAGAGCTTTTATATAGTAAGTTTATTACAGGTATCTTTCCTAGTTCACTTACATTTTAATTTTATGTCTTTATTATTTTAACCGTAGGCAGGCTGATCAATATTCATGGTTTAAAAAAAAAAATTTTTGTTAAGGCCTTCCTGAGTGTTTAATTGGCTATTTATCTTGAAATAGTCTAAATTAGGATACTTGAAATCTTGAAGTCATCTGAATTATGCAGGTAATTCAGGTCAGAGGTTCACCTGAAATACTTGTATGTGACTAACTAGGACTAAATATGATTAAATGGATAAAACCAAAGTGGCCATTTTATTTAGGCAGTTGAATATAGTATTGGATAAAAATAAGACAGCCATATTCAGAATTTATTTTTGAACACCTACGTTTCAGGAACAAGTTAATTATAGGTTATAAACTATAGAGTTACAAACTTGTACTTTTGTTATGTGCGTTGTGGCATTTTGGTGGAATTTCCAATTTCGCAATTTTGAATTAACAGTTTCCATATAGAGATAACCTTATTTCTCAAATTCCCCTTCACAATTATATGGATACATTATTTGAGAATTCCTCAGGACTGGATCATCTATCAAGTCTGTAGTCATTTAAAGGGTACCTGTTTAATAAAAGATGTTCTTTTATTTATTAGAGGCAGTGTCTTGCTCTGTCACCCTGGGCTGTAGTGCAGTAGCGTGGTCATAGTTTACTGCAGGCTGTAACTTCTGGGCTCAAGTATTTCTGCTTCAGCCTCCTGAGTAGCTAGGGCTATAGGCCCATGCCACCACACTTGGCTAGTTTAAAAAACTTTTTTTTTTTTTTTTTTTCTGTAGACATAAATTCTCTCTATGTTGCCCAGGCTGGTCTCGAACTCTTGGGCTGAAGGGATCCTCCTGCCTTGGCTTCCCAAAGTGTTGGGATTACAGGTATGAGCCACCACGCCTGGTCAAGATATTTCTTTATAGTGAAATTTATATCCAGCATAGTTAACTTTCTGTACAATGCTATCGGCAAAAATCCCTCTTTCTTAAGAAGGTAAAAGGTGATTCCTAGAGGTTGTATCCAAAACCAGATTGAATTGGAGGGAGAAAAAGCTACTTTTCTTGTCCGTTTTTGTTCCCCCCATCATCCCAATTCTGTTCTCAGGAGGGAAAAGGTTTCATTTTCCCCCAAACTCAGACTTCTCAATCCCTATCCATTACCAATTTACCAACTAAGTGAGACTGTGTAGAATCTTCCTCCGGAAAAAAGGGAAGTGTATGAATTCTGAGTAGCGAGTTGGTTGGACAGTGGTGTGTGAAGTAAACTGATAAAGCTTAGAGTTGGTTTCTTCTGTTGTACTGCGGGCAGCATATTGGGGAAAAGGATAACCTTCCTAAACTGCTTGGGTACCCCCACCCTGTGCAATAGATATTAGCAATGCCGCTAACCATACACGGTTGGTAAATACAACTCACATCTGATGCATGTAAACATTCCACATTACAATGAAATAAATTGGTGTATTAATGCATTTTAAAAACAATTACGGTATTATTTTGATACCTTATCAAAGTGTTTGGAATAGTTGTACAGATCTCCCATCTCATAATACAATGTAATACAGCTAGTCAGATCAACCAAAACTTACTGGTTAAATACTATCCTTTAACTGCTTTCTTAAACTAAACCAATCTTGGAAAGGTAGGATTAGAGGCCAGAAAGTTAGGATTAAAGAGTGATGGATGGATAGGTCAGCACAATTTCATCCATGTTGGTGTGTAGGGCCACATCCCTAAAGGGTCATGGGGTGTCCCCTATCGCTGTGTTGAGGCGCCGGATCCAAGACGTAAAGAGACAGGACACAGAAGGACTGGAAAAGACAGCTGGGCTGGGGGTGGGGGTGGGGCACGCCACTTACAAGCAGAGACAGGCGAGGCCCCGAACGTCCAGGAGCATCTGTATTTATTGGGTACAAGACAGGGGGAAGGGTAGTGGGTGAGGTCATCTCAAGGACAGTGATAGGATCAAGACAATCACGTCTGCGACAAGCAAAGTGTCCACCCCCATTAGGTCACGAAGTCAAGGAGGTGGGCCGTGTGTAGCAAGGGGTCCACCCCCATTAGGTGGCCTAGGCTAGGAGGTGGGTCATGCGCGGTGAAGAGTGCAGTGTGCAATATCTCTTATCTAGGGGCAGGCTACTTCTAAGGAATTCTGTAGGAGGATGCTTTTGAGTCACACAGCAGCGACAGAGCTGACAGGGTCTACCGCCACCTGCTGGCAGCTTCCGATGATTTCTATAGGAGGATGCTGCGAGCCAGCACAGTAACTAGAGATTTGACAGGTTATACAGCTACCAGGACGTGATTATACTCGAGGGGTTTTAAGCCCTCGGTCGCTCGTGGGATTGCAGGTCTAAGGGCAGTCTTCCACAAGAACTGGACGTAAGGTACTGCAACTCCTTTTTCAGGAGGAGAGGCTCTTGCTCCAAGCCTACCATACAGCGGGTATCTTGACGATAGGGAATGCTGACGCCTGGGCCATAGATTCTTGTCCTGGTATAACTTTTTCCCTTAAATCATGCTCTGCACCATGTCTGCTCTAGACATTCCTCCAACTATAAGCAAGATATGCATAGCTGTTTAACCCTTAATTCATGCTCTGTACTGTGTCTGCTCTAGGCATTCCTCCGACTACGAACTAAGATATTATTTTATATATATATGGAAATAACTGAGTAGTAAGACATTCTTCAGGCACTAATTGTTCCCATTATAAACTAATACATGATTGATTATATAAAAGATTATATAGAGGAAATAACTGGGTAGTAACACTATAAACTAAGATATTCTTCAGGCACTAATTGTGCGGGGGATCTGCTTAGCTCTCCTTCCTCAGTGACCAGATGGGGGGTTACCCACATTGGTGGTAAGGCTTTTCGTTATTTATTTATTTATTTATTTGAGACGGAGTGTCGCTCTTGTTGCCCAGGCTGAAGTGCAATGGCGCGATCTTGGCTCACCGCAACCTCCGCCTCCCGGGTTCAAGCGATTCTCCTGCCTCAGCCTTTCGAGTAGCTAGGATTACAGGCATGCGCCACCATTCCAGGCTATTTTTTGTTTGTTTGTTTGTTTTTTTGTATTTTTAGTGGAGATGGGGTTTCTCCATTTTGGTCAGGCTGGTCTCAAACTCCCGACCGGTGGGTGATCAGCCCATCTCGGCCTCCCAAAGAACTGGTATTACAAGCATGAGCCACCGCGCCCCACCTCGTTATTTCCAAGTTGACGCCTTCCCTTTTAAATTGTTTCCGATTACATAATCCACTGTCCTTTGTCATGCATATTGGTCAAGAAGATCAATACCAGAGATCTTAAGTGGCAGCTGAAGAGAACCGAAAAGATAAAAAACCCTGGTATTCAATCCAACTGAATTCTGCTATTGTATTAGTTGAGGAGGCTTTAGCCAATCAATCACTTGACCACTTGGAGCCTGAATCACCTCATCTATAAAAACGGGCTCCATTGAGAACGTATAATCAGATATTTTCCAGAATCCTCTCCCATCCCAGCTCCTATCTCCCCTTTCAGCCCTCAGGTCGGCTGCCACTCACACTGACCGCCAACTGTGCCCCTCACAATGACACCAGCGTGGCCCCGCCTCCCTCCAAGGCCCCGCCTTCCTCCTGCGCTTCCCCACCGAGGCCCGCCTTCTTCCCACGCGGCCTGCCTCTCTCCCTGCCAAGGCCCCGTCTTCCTCCCGCACGGCCCGCCTCTCTCCTCGCCAAGATCTCGACTTCCTCCCGCGCGACACACCTCTCTCTTCGCGAAGGCCTCATCTTTCCTCCGGGCGTCCCCGCCTTCCTCCCGCGCGGCCTCGCCTCTCACCCGGCCAAGGCTCCGCCTTCCTCCCGCGCGGCCCCGCCTCTCACCCCGCCGAGGCTCCGCCTTCCTCCCGCGCGGCCCCGCCTCTCACCCGGCCGAGGCTCCGCCTTCCTCACGCGCGGCCCCGCCTCTCACCCCGACGAGGCTCCACCTTCCTCCCGCGCGGCCTCTTCCGGAATAGGGCCCACCCCCAGCCCATGCGAAGCCCCGGCCACCGGCGCCGCCCCCTTTGCGCTCGCGCGAGCCGCGGCCGGCGTTGTCCGCCGCCACCGCGTGCCTCCACCGCCCCTCGCCGCCGCCGCCGCCGCCGCCGCGCTCGCTGGCTGGCCCGGTGCGGGCGGCGGACTCCCGCCGGAGGAGAGGACAGCCAGCGCCGCCGCCGCCGCCGCCGCTTCGGCCAGAGCCAGGACCCCGACCCCGATCCCGTCCCGGGCCCCAGCGCCAGCCGGCCGCCTGGTCGGGCGATGAAGTGTCACTACGAGGCGCTAGGGGTGCGGCGCGACGCCAGTGAGGAGGAGCTCAAGAAGGCCTATCGGAAGCTGGCCCTGAAATGGCACCCGGGTAGGTACCTGGCTCGCAGCTGCCGCGGCCCCTTGGAGAAGCCCGGCCCTCCACGACCTACCCCTCCTCCGGGCGGACTCCGCGCGACCCGGCGGCTTCGGAGCTCCTTGCCCGGCCGGGCCAGTGCCCGGCGCCGCCCCGTCCGCCTTGGTGGCCGCAGCACTCCGCCCAGGCGCCCCTCGCCTCACACACCGTCTCCTCGTCCCCGCGACCCCGGTCCCGCGTCGCCACTGTGCGGGGAAAACTGCGGTCCCGCGGCCTCGCCTGCTCCCGCCACCGGGACGCTGACACCGAGAGGGAGCATTCCGGGACCCGGAACTCGAACCTGCCCCAGGCTTGCCCTTTCCTGCGTCCCTTGCAGCGCAGCCTCTCGGTGTTTTTCCTCGGCTGCCCTCCGCTTCGTCCGGTAATCCTAGCTGCTTAAACCTGATGTATGTCCCCTTTCCATTCTTAAGACACGGGAGCTAGTAAAATATCTTTGAAATAGGGATGCGCTTTTTTTTCTTTTAATAGGCTGATTGAGCAGACTCTGTACTTCACTTTGGACAGGCTTCTGCCGAGGAAGAGTTAATCAGGCAGCTTCCCTAGTGAAGTTTGTATGTTTAATTAGAAGTATCCTTCCTTTGGGTGTTTCACTGGGCTATAATCCAGGCCTGTGTGACTTTTATGAAGTAATTTGATCTTCCAGGCTGGGAAACTAAGACTGTAGTTGATGCTCAGCGTTTTGAAGTTCGTATGAATAGGCTTTTATATTAGCATTAATCAGTATACACAGTTACAGAGTATCCAATATATGCAAGTCACTGTACTGCTTTGTAGATTTGGAAATGCTAAGACAGGGATCTTAGAGTCTTGTTAGGGAAACAACTTACTGCGTCACACAAACGAAAAGTTAAATACAACTGCCAAAAAAAAAAAAATTACAACATACATAAATGGTAGTTAGATTAATAGAATAACTAATACATGCTCCAGGAATTCAGGGAGGCAGTTACCATTTTGTATTGACTCTTCCCCTTCTCAGAGGAGTTTGGACTGGATCCTAGAGGAATGTAGTTTGGAAAAGTGAACTCAACAATATGGAAAATAGCATGGTGGAGGAAAATAGATGTTCCAGGGGACAGTTTGATTGAAGGTGGTCTTTATTGCAAGTCTGAAAAATCTGGATTGAGAGAGGAGTGGAAGGAAGAGCCAGGAACACAAAGTCAAAAGGGAATGGCTATGGTTGATGGAATGAGAGATAGAGGTATGGATCTGTTACTTAAAGTCATGCTTACCAACAGAGGCATGAAAAAATGTGGTTATAAATATATTAGGGCCAAGCTTGGTGGCTTACGCCTGTAAATCCCAGCACTTTGGGAGGCCGAGCCAGGCTGATCACCTAAGGTCAGGAGTTTGAAACCAGCCTGACCAACATGGTGAAACCCCATCTCTACTAAAAATACAAATATTAGCCCAGCGTGATGGCAGGCACCTGTAAGACCACCTCCTTGGGAGGCTGAGGCAGGAGAATGCTTAAACCTGGGAGATGGAGGTTGCAGTCAGCTGAGATCAGGCCATTGCACTCCAGCCTAGGGGACAAGAGTGAGACTTCCTCTCAAATAAATAAATAATAAAATAAATAGAAGAGCAGAAGTAAATTAACTGATGTTCATCATAGCAGCAAGCTAGAAGATACAAGCCAAAATTAATAAATGTAAAAGTAGTGTAGAAGCATATTCTTAGAGTTGGGTTAGTGTAGAAGCATATTCTTAAGAGTTTGGGTTATTACTGATTTTGAATTTTAGGCTAAGAACTGTGAAATTAGCTTTGCTAAATAATGGAGAGTTGTGTCTGGTTTTATTAAGCTGCCTTGGGAGGGTACTATGAAGGCAACTGAATGGATTGAAGAGGGCTGGAGACAGAGGGAGGGTCCACAAGTGGACATGTAAGGGCCCAAGCCAGGCCCGGGGTCAGTGGGAGGGGGAAAGCCCAAGGGAAGGAGATGTTGGGAAGAAAAAAATGACCAGATTTGGTGATTAAGTAGAACTCAGTGCAAGGAAGAAGCACGCAGATACGACTAAAATCTCAGTTAACTATTACTAAAATATAACTAAAATATCACTTAGAACCAAACCTGTTAGGAACTGAATGCAAATATCTTCTCAGAATAGCATCATAATTTATGGCATCAGTGTGATGGTATCTGAGAATGGGCAGCCGGAAGCCCTGAAGAGCCATATTCTAGGGCTGCAAAACTATTTGTAGATGGTACATTGCTGGCTACTCTGGGAGTGGCCAGCTGTCATGTTTTCTTCTAACTTCTTAGAAGGGGAAGTATTGAGCTGTAGCTTAAAGAACTTTAGTGTGCTCCAATTCAAAATATTTTACTTTCTGAATGTATTAATTGTCTATTGCTGTGTAACAAATTACCAGTACCTTCGGGCTTAAGACAACAAACAACAAAAACAGCAAGCATCTGTTCACCGTATGGACTCCCATAATTTTTAAGGATCAGAATCTGAGAGCGGCTTGGGCTGAGTGATTTTGGTTCACTCTCATTATCTGGGAGAACCTGCTTCCAGCTCACCAACACAGCAGCTCGCCAACGACCAACTCACAGTTGTGGCAGGCCTCTGTGCCCTGCTGGCTATTGGCCAGGGCCTCTTCACCACATGAGCTTCTCTGTAAGCAGCCTGAGTTGCTCATGCTATGGCAGCTGGCCACTCCCAGAGTAATCGAGAGGAAAACCCAAGGTAGAGACTGCAGTCTTTTATAGACTGTCACAAGGTGGGGTGCTGTCTTGTAAGCTGACTGCCACCTGGAGGCAAAGACGCTTTCTGAATTCTGTGGTTCAGAAAGCACAGCTAAGGAAAGAATAACTGATCAGTGTACATTTTTTAAACTTTATGAGATTCCTTTCGATATACACTGATGAGAAAGAAAAAAACAATGTGAGCACTGAACATAATCTAGCACAGAATAAGCCTTTCTAGAACTGATTTTATTTATTTTACTCCTTTTAAAAGTAAAATTTATACTACTCAGGTTTTTTCATTGTGGATACCCAGTTGACTTTATTTTCCAGAGATAGTGTCTCGCTCTGTCACCCAGGCTGGAACGCAGTGATGCAGTCTCGGCTCACTGCATCTTCTGTCCCTGGGTTCAAGTGATTCTCCCACCTTAGCCTTCCAAGTAGCTGGGACTACAGGCCCTCACCACCACACATGGCTATTGTTTTTTTTGAGATGGAGTCTCCCACTGTGGCCCAGGCTGTAGTGCAGTGGCATGATCTTGGCTCACTGCAATCTCCACCTCCTGGGTTCAAGCAATTCTCCTGCCTCAGCCTCCTGAGTAGCTGGGACTACAGGCATGCACCACCACACTCAGCTAACTTTTTTGTATTTTTAGTAGAGACAGGGTTTCACCATGTTGGCCAGGATGGTCTGGATCTCCTGAGCTCATGATCCAGCCTCCCAAAGTGCTGGGATTACAGGCGTAAGCCACTGTGCCTGGCCTAATTTTTCGTATTTTTAATAGAGATGGGGTTTCACCAATAATCCTGATCAATGACTGTTACGTGGGGTCTCTTTGCCTTATTTGTGTGTCTTTGTTTTGTACACTTCTCATCTATTTATGGCATTTCTGATGGAAGAAGTCTTATTTAGATTCTGCCCTCTATGTTTTCAATCGACTAAATTTTCATGACTTTATTTTAACAGATAAAAATCTGGATAATGCCGCAGAAGCAGCTGAACAATTTAAATTAATCCAAGCAGCATATGACGTGTTGAGTGACCCTCAGGAAAGAGCATGGTGAGCATCATCCTGTCCTTCCCATCCTAGTTTGTGATGTTGGGAGCAGTTATCAATATAGGTGGTGGTTTTTTCAAATTTAATACATCAAATGGTTTTTGCTGTGTTCTGAAGCATCTGTCACTTAGTCATCACATAAAATCTAATATTTGGGTCAGAAGAAACCTTGGAAATGATTGCTCCAATTGTCTGATTTCATAGCGGGTGAAACAGAAAGTTTGGTGATATTATATAGTTTTAATTTTGATACTTTAGGTGACTTCTCAGTAAATACCATTTGGTGTATGATAGATTTACTGGTACCAGACACGAAGAATGTTGACTTATCCTTAAAAACAGATACAGTGTTGTGTTGTATTTTGTTTTGTTTTTGAGAGTGTCTTGTTCTGTCACCAGGCTGAAGTACAGTGGCATAATCTTGGCTCACTGCAACCTCCCCCTCCCAGGTTCAAGTGATTCTCCAGCTTCAGCCTCCTGAGTGCTGGGACTATACGTGTGAGCCACCACGCCAGGCTAATTTTTTGTTTGTTTGTTTTTTTAATAGAGACAGGGTTTCACCATGTTGGCCAGGCTTGTCTCAAATTCCTGAGCGATCCACCTGCCTTTACCTTGCAATGCTAGGATTACAGGTGTGAACCACTGTGCCTGGCCAGTACAGTGTTTAAATACAAGGATAGTAATCCTCGAAACTATGTAAAGGAATTGAATTAAGCTTCTCTGTCTATGACAGATATTACTAATGATGGTCTGATCATTTAAAATCATTTCCAGGTGAAAACTACTATGTTTGAAGTTCTGTGTTTTCAGATTCTCAATCTTTTGCCACAAAGAAAAAGGTTTTAAGCCTTGACATAACCGTGCAAGATCCTACTCTCACAAAGAGCTACTGTGCAAATCGTCTTTCTGTTAAACAAAGTACAGCACAGGTGATTGTCAAGAAAGAAGGGCTGTAAAGAAGAATTCTTATAAAATTGTATTTTATGAGAAAATAAGAGAGGATCCTGAACATTTCCCTACCCAAGGAATTTGGAGATCTGGTCTTAGAATTGCTTTTGCCATCCTCTCAGAACTTGGAAATTCTTTCCTGATTTCCTTTTGCCTAGTCTCTTCTCAAGATCTTGGGTTGTTTTCTGATCCTTGGGATTTTATGATCCTTTGTCTTTTTATTCAGAGCTCTTACTTTAACTCTTTTTGCCTGCAAGCAGTACCAGGTAGTGGCTCCTAGATTAAGTTGACATAAACATAGGAAGAATCTTACTCTGGTGCATCTTGTAAATTTCCAAACCACAGACGTGTAATGATTCTATGGGCCAGATTTCCTATGTCATGTTTTATATTTCTTTCCTGTGGAAATGCAGGACTCAGAGACAGTCATGAAAATTCCCTGGCTTTTTAAATTCCCCTGTTCATATGGACTAGCATTGTGTAATGTATCAGAAGTTGCAGGCCTATTTGTAATTAACAGTTTATAAGGAAAGATTATGAAGTCTTTTCATGTTGCTGTTTTCTTAAAATTTTTTGATTACAGATTGGACACGTCCACAGCCAAAAATATAGAGTAATAATATTAAAAAGGAGCAGAAAATCCTTTTGAATTCTTATTTATTCAGCCTTCACTGATGATGCCAATTTTTGTTTTTCAGGTATGATAATCATAGAGAGGCCCTACTTAAAGGTGGGCTTGATGGAGAATATCAAGATGACAGCTTAGATTTGCTACACTATTTCACTGTTACCTGTTATTCTGGTTATGGAGATGATGAAAAGGTAAGATAAATGAAATCATCCTTAGTTTATTATCAAGAACTTCATTAAGACTCACATACAAAGAGAATTCTTAACATTATTCTTGAACAGAAAGCGAAGCAGTGTTCATTTTGAAAACTGAAGATGCATTGTCTTCATATTTAAACTGTCAGTGTATAAAAACCTCCAGTTGAAATCTAAATGTACTTGCAGTGACTGAACTTGGTCCACAAATTCTTCAACATTACAATTTTTCATTTTATATTTCAAAATCTTACTCTGTAATTATGCTGCAAAAGTATTAAGTATTTCTTTTGGTTGCTGTTTTGTAGGGCTTTTACACGGTGTATCGTAATGTTTTTGAAATGATTGCAAAGGAAGAACTAGAATCTGTGTTAGAGCAAGAGGCTGATGATTTCCCAACTTTTGGAGACTCCCAGAGTGACTATGATACGGTAAAAGAAAAATGCATTGTGTTCTATAATTAGTATTTATCACTGTGCCATTTCTTTTCTTTTCTTTTTTGAGACAGGATCTCATTCTGTCACCCAGGCTGCAGTGCAGGGGTATGATCATATCTCACAGCAGCCTCAGAGTCCTGGGCTTAAGCAATCTTCCTACCTCAGCCTCCTGAGTAACTGCAAACACAGGTGTGCACCACCACATCTAGCTAATTTGTAAATTTTTTTGTAGACTTGGGGTCTTCCTAAGTTTCCTAGGCTGATCTTGAACTCCTGGCCTCCCTCCTTGGCCTCCCAAAGGATTGGGGTTACAGGCCTCGGCCACAGCTCCCAGCTTCCCATTTCCTTGTTTTAAAACAATCGGTTCCAGTTTTCGAAACTATCCCATGACCCCTCTTCATCTCTCTTCCTTTCGGAAGTAGATTTTGGATCTCTTGCAACCTTCCCTCTTTACTTTTCTCTTTTTATTTACTAATTATTTACTTAGTCACTGTTGTCCCATCCAGTGATTAGTAAGGCTATTTTTATTTTCTCATTAAGTCCATTCTGAAGAGCGATTTATTCTGGGTAGCCATAAAGTACAGTCTTTTCCAGTGATTAATAGAAGTATTATATACATGAAAAATGAAAGCTAAAAGATGTTTTGCATCACTAATATTTACTGCTGTTCTAAAATTAAAAAGAACAGAAGTTAATCTGTTTTCTTTGTCGCTAGGTAGTCCATCCTTTCTACGCTTATTGGCAGAGTTTCTGCACTCAAAAGAATTTTGCATGGAAGGAAGAGTACGATACACGACAAGCTTCAAACCGCTGGGAAAAACGAGCCATGGAAAAAGAAAACAAAAAGATTCGGGATAAAGCAAGGAAAGAGAAGAACGAGCTTGTCCGTCAGCTGGTAGCTTTCATTCGTAAAAGAGACAAGAGAGTGCAGGCGCATCGAAAACTTGTGGAAGAACAGAATGCAGAGAAAGCGAGGAAAGCTGAAGAGATGAGGCGGCAGCAGAAGCTAAAGCAGGCCAAGTGCGTAGCATGCGTAGGGTCCTCTTCTCAGTATCAGTGGGGTCAGAGGCAGCACCAGAGGTATCTGAGGTCATGTTCATGTTGGCTTCTGTCAGGGTCAGTCATCAGCCTGGCTTCATCTGCTTTTTCTTATTTTAAAATTGTGGCATTGGATAGTGTTTTTTCATTTACTGTATCAAAATTATTTTGGGGGGATGGATTCTTGCTCTGTCACCCAAGCCGGAGTGCAGTGATGTGACCTCGGCTCTCTCTAGCTTCCGCCTCCCAGGTTCAAGTGATTCTCCTGTCTCAACCTCCCAAGTAGCTGGGATTACAGGCATATGCCACCAACCCCCACCGATTTTCGTATTTTTAGTAATGATGAGGTTTCACCGTGTTGCCCAGGCTGGTCTCATACTCCTGGCCTCAAGGGATCTGCCCACCTCAGCCTCCCAAAGTGCTGGAATTACAGGCATGAGCCACTGTGGCTGGCCTAAACTTTTTATTTGAATTGATATTTTTCTTCAGAGACACTTTACATTTGAGAGATCCTTTAGACTCTTGTAAACTTTAATAATTTTAACTAATAACATTAATTGAATTCTTCCTCTGTGCAAGTTCGTGTTCTAAGCAATGCTGTGAAATAACTTCTCTGATTTTGTCCTCCTATTCTTTTGAGAAAACAGGGCAGACAGGCCTAAGATCACAGAACCAGTAGTTGATAGAGCAGAACTGGACCTGAGAATTCTAACTCTAGACTTCCCTGCTTTAGATCAGTGTACTCTGAGATACTCAGTTCACTTTAGTTCCTCTAAAGTTGTGTTGTTAAAAGTTACTGTAAAAGCATTGTGTCCAGAGCATTATAGCATTCTTTTAAAACTTGTTCATTTCTTTTTTTTTTTTGAGACGGAGTTTCGCCCTTGTTACCCAGGCTGGAGTGCAATGGCGCGATCTCGGCTCACCGCAACCTCCGCCTCCTGGGCTCAGGCAATTCTCCTGCCTCAGCCTCCTGAGTAGCTGGGATTACAGGCACGCGCCACCATGCCCAGCTAATTTTTTGCACTTTTAGTAGAGACGGGGTTTCACCATGTTGACCAGGATGGTCTCGATCTCTCGACCTCGTGATCCACCCGCCTCGGCCTCCCAAAGTGCTGGGATTACAGGCTTGAGCCACCGCGCCCGGCCTAAAACTTGTTCATTTCTTAAGAATTCTATTCATCCCACCCTCGTCTTTTGAAAATTAACACTACCGACACAAATTAAAATCATCTGAAGACTTTTAATAAGTTGCTGAGTTTACATGTAACAGGTAAACAGGTTTAAGTGACTTTGCCTTGGTTTTAAGTTTGTAAGCATCAATAAGCTTGGAGCAAGCTCTCTGGAGGGGATGGATTTTAAGCCTAAGTTGGAAGTGAAAACCACATAGAAGCGTGCTTGTCTCTATAAGACTATGCTGTATGTGTGCAGACTGGCGGAGCAGTACAGAGAACAGAGCTGGATGACCATGGCCAATTTGGAGAAGGAGCTCCAGGAAATGGAGGCACGGTATGAGAAGGAATTTGGAGATGGGTCGGATGAAAACGAAATGGAAGAACATGAACTCAAAGATGGGCGGGATGGTAATGTTCTCCATTTTTTAAGAGATTAAAAAAACAAACAAACAAAAAGTCATTGTTCATAGTAGTGTACACTCAGGTACCTGCCTGTGTAAGGCAACAGGGAATGGCAGTGCAGATGAAAACCTGAGTTCCAGTCAGCTGTCGCCAGGATTATGCCAAAGTTTTTATTTTTATGGTATTTATTTTGTTTGTTTTTTTTAAGTGAAGCTGGAAATCTCCCCACTTATTTGACATCTCCCAATTTTTAAATGTGGCAAATAATTAAAAACAACGTTGTATGGGCCAAAGGTAGTCTGTTGAGCTAGTCTAATTAAAGTAATTTGATTAACAAATTTTTTTCTGACCATGTTCTAAACAATTTGTACTTCCAGCTGCGTAACATGACAAATGGCCATGTTTACAAGTGTGACTGTTAAAGAAAACTCAAGCTATAGGTCAAGTTTTAATAGTAGCTGTTTCTAGAAAAGCTGATATTGCATGACAATCTATGTGTTGTGTATAAATTCTTCCTCTCCCTTCTGACTTTAAAGAAGGGCTCCTCTTGGTGTGCCAAAATGTTTTCTCTGCCGCTGTCATTAGAGAACAGGTATTTGACTACCTGAAAAGGCAAAGATTAGGCATTTTTGAGAATAGCTGTATGTCTGATTTTCCTCGCTGTCTTTAACTCTTTCATGAGGAATAAAATTGACCCAATTTTACCTTATCTACAAATGTGATTTTTCAGACTAGTAGCCCAAATGATAAAATGACAAACTTCATTCAAAATGACTATGAAAGGAAGTGTTTTATTAATGAATCAGAAGAAGTACTTCTGTAAGTACTTTGAAAATTATAAAGCACTCTATAAACATGAGGTGGCCTAATTTACAAAGAGTTTTACAATTTATAAAGTCCTTTCACATAAAAGATCTCACTGGGTCCTCACACAGTTTCCCTTACTTGGTGGTTTTGCTCATGGAATTGTCTCTCTTTTACCATTGTGGAAACTAGGACTCTGAGAAGCTGAGATGTGCCTGAGAACATATGACCATTGTTAGATCCAGGTTTTTTGCTTCAAATCCAATATTGTTAACTATTTGATTAATTAAAATGTCATATATATTATACAATATTGTAATGGAAAATTAACACCATATATTAAACATTAACACTAGATAGGATATAGTTTGATCATTTATGATTTGAATGAGAGTCCTTCAAAATCATACTGACATCACTTATAAAGAATGAACATGTAGAATATAGAAGATACACCTTGAGATATTTTTTGGTCCTATAATCCCAAGTGACAGTTTACCTGTTTGTTTCTTCAAAAATAGAATATGGATTTGTGAAAATAATTTCAGTTGAACTTTTTAGTCACTTTGTTTTTGTGGACTATACTGATAGTAATTACTCAGTTGTTAATAAAGCCAAAAACTTATTATAAAAAAGTTTGTAATGTTAAACTTTGCATGTAGTATGTTAACTTATGACCTATGAGTCTTACTGTGATGGGATATTATAAACTAAGTTTATTAAGTATTTAAGAGTAAGTCACAGTTGCAAATGTGTTTGGATCAAATCTTGTTCAAGAGGTAAACTAAGAAAAGACCTTTGTTGAAAAACTGCTTTGTGGTAGAACTATGAAAGTGGGATTTAATTTTTTAAACTTAGCCCACATTCAAGACTTTAAGGATGTTTTAAATCTTCTTCTAAGTAGACTTATGAAAAGAACTTCAAAGGTAAGGTGCTTTATCTGGAAGCCTTTCCTTATAGTATAGTGCTGCTTTTAAAAAGCCAATTCAAATCCTGATAGCATTATTTGTTTTTTTTCTTTTTTTGGTAAAGAAAAAAATTTAATTTCTAATTTGTGTGCAGCTTTAGATTCTTACCAAAGAGGTGAAATTTGTTAACATATTTTAGATTTGTGCTCTGATCTAAGAGGGTTCTTACTGCAGGCTTCCCTTTTCACAGGTAAAGACAGTGATGAGGCCGAGGACACTGAGCTCTATGATGACCTCTACTGTCCAGCATGTGACAAATCGTTCAAGACAGAAAAGGCGTAAGTTTATTTATTTAATTTAGTTTAATTTTTTTGAGACAGGGTCTTTCTCTGTCACCCAGGCTGGAATGCAGTGGCGCAATCATGGCTCACCACAGCCTTGACCTCTTGGACTCAGGTGATCCTTCTGCATCAGCCTCCTGAGTGGCCGGGGCTATAGGCACCCATCACCATGTCCAGCTAATTTTTGCATTAGGCTGCTACAAAAGTAACTGCGTTTTTTGTCATGACTTTATGGCAAAAAAGCAGTTACTTTTGCATCAACCTAAATGTTTTTTGTGGAGCTGGGTTTTCGCCATGTTGCGCAGGTTGGTCTTGAACTGCTGGCTCAAGTGCTCTACCTGCCACAACCTCCCAAAGTGCTGGGATTACAAGTGTGAGCCACTGTACCCAGCTAAAAGGAATAAGTTTAGTATCCTTGAACTTGTGTTTTCTTTTTTTTGCAACAGAGTCTCACTCAATCTCCAGGGTGGGGTACAGTGGCATCTCAGTTCACTGCAACCTCCTCCTGGGTTCGAGCGATTCTCCTGCCTCTGGCTCCCAAGTAGTTGGGACTACAGGTGCATGCCCAGCTAATTTTTGCATTTTTAGTAAAGATAGGTTCTCACCATGTTGGCCAGGCTGGTACCAAACTTCTGGCCTCAGGTGATCCACCTGGCCCAGCCTCCCAAAGTGTTGGGATTACAGGCGTGAGCCATGGTGCCCACCTCTTGTGTTTTCTTTTGAGGTGAAGCGTAACACTTTGAAAGTCCTAAAAAGAATGTGCTGTAGCAGTTGATAACTAGCCCCACATACTGTCTTGGGGGATTCCTTTCAAGCAGGGAAGGAAGAGGTATTTGTACCTACAGTTAAACCTATTGTACTGATGCTCACCATCCCAGTATTCCTATATAAGAGCTGCTTTTAAAACACATGCACTGTCTCCAGAAATAAACATTGCTTGTTTTGGCAAGGAAGACGTAGTCACATGAGTGAAAAGTCTAGGCCATGTCTAATCATCTCTCTCCACTGTTGGTGTCAGACTGACTTCCTACCATCATTGTCCCATGCAGGCTGATGCTGCCAATATAGGGGCTTTAGAGTTTCTTTGCTGAAGTGGAAGCACTTCATCTTAGGGGAACAATGATGATGAGAGAAGTATTAAAAAGGGTACCATTATTATAAAGGAGAGAGGAAAGAGCATGGGAGAAAATGAGAGTGGAATCAGCAAGGGAAAAGAAACAAAATGGGCATTAAGAGAGAAAGGAGGCCAAAGGATGAGAATGGGGATATGAGAGTTGTACGTGGTATTACCATATGACCTCAAGGAGAAATAATGGAGCAGTAAGGGCATTAGAAAGAGGAGAAAAATTAGAAACAAGCAAGAAAAAGTCAGTGAAGGAGATTAAAAAAATTTTTTTTATTTGGAAATAATGACAGACTTAAAGGTAAGTTGAAAGAAGGTAATATAGTGTGTCTGACTGACCTGTTACTAACGTTTTGCAGCATTTGCATGTGCTCTTTCTCCACACTCACACACACAGTTTCTATTCTGAATAATTTGAAAGTAACTTACATATGTAGTGTTCCTTTACCTCTAAATACTTCACTGTATCTTAAGAATAAGGTTATTCTCTTATGTAACCACACTACAGCTACCAAATACAAGAAATTAATAATGTTGATATGGTATTTTTATCTAATTTACTGCCTGTATTCCAATTTTGCCAATCAATCATTTATTTATATAGGACTTTCTCCTCTTCAGTACAGAATCCAGTCTAGGATCATAATATGGAACAGCTTGTATTGTCTTTTATGCTGTTTACATTTTAGAAGTATACTGTTCCTTTAAAATACTTTTTTTCATAGAAGTCTTCTCATTTTGGGTTTGTCTATTCCTCATGATTAGATTCAGGTTATACAGCCCCAGGTGGGATGTTGCACAAGCATGTTGTGCTCTCAGGGATTCACAGCTGGAGATAGGTAAAGTCCTCTGCCCCTCATTTGTGGTGATAATTTCGTCACCCAATCACAGTGTCATCCACATTTACAACTACAGAGCTAGTATTTTTTCCCTTGCAACAAGTTTTTCCTTGCAATATGTTTAATCGGTGAGGAGACACTTTGAAACTATGCAGATACCCTTCTTCTCATAGCTTTAACATCTGTTGATGGTTTTAGCTTGTATCAGCTTTATTATGATGGTTGCAGAATGGTGCTTTTCCAGCGCCAGTGCCCCCTCCAGTAGCACTTGGCCTTGTGCTGTAACCAGGAATCTTCCCTTTTATCCATTTATCTGTTCATTATCAATTGGAATTTATGAGTTTTTAAAATTTTATTTATTTATTTATTTTTGAGACAGAATCTTGCTCTACAGCCAGGCTGGAGTACAGTGGCATGATCTTGGCTCACTGCAACCTCTGCCTCTGGGGCTCTAGTGATTCCCCTGCCTCAACCTTCTGAGTAGCTGGGACTACAGGCATGTGCCACCACACCCAACTAATGTTTTTGTGTTTTAGTAGAGACAGGGTTTCACTATCTTGGCCAGATGGTCTAGATTTCCTGACCTTGTGATCTGCCCTCGGCCTCCCAAAGTGCTGGGATTATAGGCGTGAGCCACTGCGCCTGTCCATCAATGTTTTATAATTCATTACTCACCTTTTCATGCTCAAATTTTTCCAGATTTGGTTAGTGAGCATTCCTTCAAGCCAGTTCCTGTGTCCTTTTGACATGTTACCATAACTTTTTTGGAGGACTTACTTTCTGTCACAAGATCTTCTAGTATCTCCAGGGTAGCTTGGTCTGAAGGAGAATTTTAGTGGGAAGGAAAAATAGCAACCAAAACTATAATACCAAAAGTCTAAACAGATGAGATGAAGTAGATAGTTGACAAAGATAACTACTTTTTAGTTGATCTAACTCTTGTAGCTTATGTCATCAGCTCTGTTTCGTGTGATGCTTTTTAGTTACCTGTAGGTATACTGAGACAGACATTGACAGTAGGCTTTTGAACCAAGGGGAGGAGGTGTGTCTGAATTTACATTATGGTGGTGGGAGTGAGGAAGGAGACCTCTCTCGAGAAGGTGAAAAGCAGATAGTGAAAAAGTAAGAGGCTGTAAACTGTATTTCAAGCCCTCCCACCACCATTTCTGTAGTTGAGGACACTCTTCCTTTTAACGTTAGAATGTGTGTCTTCTAATTTCCAAGTGATCCCTCCAAGTCTGTAGGATAGCCTGGCAAGTAAAACCAGCAGCAAATGCTTAGCAATTAAAAGGAAAAAATGGGGGAGGCTTTAAGAATTGAAAAATCAGAGCGATATACCATTCTCTCCCTTAATAATGACGTTGGTTTGCAAAACCTAAAGAAATAATAACAGACTATTTCATACTTTCAAGCAAGTCTTTATAATACAATACCTGTTATTTCTCTAAAATTTAAATAAAGAATTTTTAAACTAAAAAAAAAAAAAGAATTGAAAAATCAAAATAATAAGTAGAGAATTTGGCCAACCCCTGCCCCCCACCACCACCACATATCCCCATCCCCAAAAAGGAAGAAAACATATGTAGATGAAAGGACGGAGAAAGGCAGGGAAAGCTGTGGCATGCGAAGAAAGAGCATGGCCGCAAGCTTCCAGTGTGCTTTCTGCTGGAGGAATCCTGACACATTCTCTTTCTCTGTATAAAATAATGAACAAATAAAAACAAAAGAAAAAAATAAAATCATAAACGTTTTGCTTAGTGGGAAAAAGCAAATTTTATCTTAGTTGCAGTTATCCAGCAACAGTATCTGGACATGCGAACTAATTTTGGTGCAGCTGCTCACATCAGATTCCTCTTTCAGCATGAAGAACCACGAGAAGTCAAAGAAGCATCGGGAAATGGTGGCCTTGCTAAAACAACAGCTAGAGGAGGAGGAAGAAAATTTTTCAAGACCTCAAATTGATGAAAATCCATTAGGTGACAATTCTGAGGAAGAAACGGAAGATGCACCAAAACAAAGGTACTTTTAAATACTAAGTGTCACTTAAAATACTTATCACTGTCAGAGATTGCATTTAAAGGCTTTTTTTTTTTCTTTTGAGATGGAGTCTCACTCTGTCGCTCAAGCTGGAGTGCATTTGGCATGACTCCCGGGTTCAAGCAATTCTCTTGACTCAGCCTCCCAAGTAGCTGGGACTACAGGCACACACCACCACATCCAGCTTATTTTTGTATTTTCAGTAGAGACAGGGTTTCACCATATTGGCCAGGATGGTCTTGAACTCCTGACCTCAGGTGATTCACCTGCCTTGGCCTCCCAGAGCTCTGGGATTACAGGAATGAGCCACCGCACCCGGCCTTAAAGGCTGTTTTATCCCAAGGAAGTTATTCTGTTATGCTAACGTTGCCTCCATATTTTCTAGTTAGTGGAACTTTATAGTGTTGAAGTGGATACAGATATAATATCAACTATTATATTTATAGAACTTACTATATTAAAAGCAGTTTTTATATCTGGCAGTTGATATGCTGATTACCATCCATTGAATTACAGACTTTTGTTATTTTTTAAAATGACAGTGTGAATATTTTCCTTGTAATGCTTTATGATATTAAATATTTTTAATCTTCTATGTTACTGCTTTATCACTAGTGTTTCAACTTTTTTTTTTCACTTAATCTTTACAGAGTCAAGTATTTGACATTTTGATTTATATTTGCTCTTAGGCTTTCTAAAAAACAGAAGAAAAAGAAACAGAAACCAGCACAGGTATGTTCGAAAGGTTTTGTTATCATTAAATGCCAACTATGAAGTTGCATTTATTTCTGTTAAAAAAAAAACTTGTCCTAGTGGGATTTTTATAAAAATTGTATTGAATTTGTTCACACTGTAGGTTGTATTGACAACTTAACAAAATTAAATTATTTGACCCATGAACAAAAAAAAAAAAAAAAAGGAATTAAGTGAGTAAATTGTTACTGGCAACCAGATTCTTTTTTTGTGGAAAGAGGGAAATACAAATATAAATTGAGAGAGAGGGGAAGAATACTGTGGAGATGGATTGAAGTGGAGATGTTGGTATGAGCTCAGGATTTAAAGAAAATAAGTGTGTGAGTAGTGTGCTTTGTGAGGACCTAGAATCAGTGACACTCCTGGCAGTAAGCACACCTAGTGCAAATGTATTGGTTTTTAAGTTTCCTTTTCCATGAAAAGGAAACAGGTTTGCTCTTTGGAGAAGTAGCTGATTTCAGGGTTGAGACCAGGGAAGTAGAAGGTGGGCCTCAAGCATCTTATACTAGAAACTAAGGAAGTGCTCAAAACTGATGGGGATATGTTAAAAGTACTCAAAATCCAGCATGTAGGCCTACCAATTTGGGAAAATTTGAGTCATCAAAAGGAATAAGTGTAATAAATCTTCATACATTGCGTTTGTTTAGAAAACATTTATGTATCTATATTGACTTTAAAAAGAGTGAGAGTTGGCCAGGCCTAGAGGCTCACGCCTGTAATCCCAGCACTTTGGAAGGCCAAGGTGGGTGGATCACAAAGTCAGCAGTTCGAGACCAGCTTGGCCAACATGGTTAAACCCCGTCTCTACTAAAAATACAAAAATCAGCCAGGTGTGGTGGCACACCTGTAATCCCAGGTACAAGGGAGCCTGAGGCAGGAGAATCATTGGAACTCGGGAGACAGAGGTTGCAGTGAGCCAACATCGTGCCACTACACTCCAGCCTGGGTGACAGAACAAGACTGTCTAAAAAAAAAAAGTGAGAGTTGAAGAAAGGAGATGGGAAAGCTTTATTATTACAGAAGAATATGAATTAGTACAAGTGCAAATGACACAAGTAATAGAGAAAATCACTCTTTTACATCCACCAGTATATAAATGTTTCCAGCAAGAATCATCAATAGATTCCAAGTACACCCAGTAAATGGTTATTGGAGATAGGATATTCAGACAGTCTTAGAGTCATACTCTGAAGATTACTTATTATACTTTACAGTTGAAAAATCTGGCAATACCACCCTAACCAAATGATCAAACTTAATAATATCATTGAAAAATGGGACAAACTGGTATTTTGCCTCCCAGGATTATTTTTATAGTATTATGCTAGAAATGTTTTACCTGAATCTGATCATTTGGAAACAACCAAAGCAAGCCAAATTATGGGACATTCTACGAAATGTCAAATAGCATCATGAAAGACAAAACAAAAATGTGGGAGAACTGTTACAGAATAAAGGAGATTAAAGATACCTGACAACTAAATAAAACATGTGATTTCTGATTATACCCCCTATCCGTATGTTTCTATACAGGAAAAGGAATAATTGCTAAATTTGAATGTGGGTTGTGTAACAGATAGTATCAGCATTAGATTCTTGAGTGTGAGTATTGTGGACCTGCCAAAGAATGTTTTGATTCTTAGGCTGTACCTGGCAAAGATTCATATCTGCCTGCAGCTCACTTTCATATGGCTTAGGGGGGAAAAGTGTGTGTTGAGAAAGAGAAGAGGGGGAGGGAGCGAGCACAAATGTGGCAAAATGTTGCTCGAAAACAGATGGGTGCGCTTAGTGAGGATAGGTGCACCCATCTGTTTTGGATGCCGGCCTCTTTCTTTTATAATGCCTGTTTGTTGTTGCGGTTTGTGACTATAGAAAAATAGTTGCTCATTGCTTATCATTTGCAAAATATGAAAAACTGTCATCCTTAATTTTTCCTGTAGAGATTACGTAATAATGAATTAAATTGTGATTACACTGTAGGTATAATTTTCTCTCTTCTACTTTTGCTAATATGTTGTATTCTTTTACATAATTGCATATCTTTGGAAACATGATACTTAGGCACTTCAGAACTTTTCTTCATATATTTAACCATTCACTTTTAGAACATTTGGATTGTTTCCAGATTTCCCCTAATTTCACATCTCTGTAATGAACAACCATGTTCTCAACTTACCTGTTTCTCCTTTTTATTTCCTGAAGATATATAACTATTTGGCAACATAACATAAAAAGGTAGTATTAGTATTATATTAATTTTGTAATGGTACCTATGTTTTATTACCTAGAATTATGATGACAATTTCAATGTAAATGGAACTGGAGAAGGAGTAAAGGTTGATCCAAAAGATACAAACTTAAATCAAGACAGTGCCAAAGAATTGGAAGATAGTCCCCAGGAAAATGTCAGTGTCACAGAGATCATTAAACCATGTGATGATCCAAAAAGTCAAGCTAAAAGGTAAGTCAAAGTTGCATATTATTTGTAAATTACTAAATACTGATAGTAAGGATATAGCTTTTAATATCAAATAAAATCTCCTTTCCCATGACTGACCAAGTAATTTAGAGTTATCTGTACATATTTACAGACATATGGACACACACACACACACACACACACACGTATACAGATGAAGAGCATTGAGAAGAGAATGCTAGAAGAATGTGCCTACACACATCTCGGCAACATGGCCAAAATCAGAAAGAAGGCACTTTGATCCAGTTCTTATTTCTCTTATGCTGTGCAGTGGCTCTGATTTTGTCCTGGATCATTAACCATTGACACTCACATGGGAACAAGACTCCTGCTGAGTCCCTGGAGTGTCACTAACCAAATCTCCGTGCTCATGACAGCAGCCTTTGTTGGTTCCCACCATGTTGCGAGGTCGTATGGCAGCAGTTGGGGCCCTTCCTGCTCAGAGGAGCCCTGGACTCTTGGTGCTGCACAAGGCCCTGGTATGAACTCGGAGGAGGTCTCACGCAAGGGAGGTAGCCAGTCCTGTCCTCTTCTTGCTCTTGTCTTGTCCTGTCCTCTTCTGTTCCTCTAGAACAGAGAATCATTTCTTATTCCTTGAGGAGAGATCTCATAGTAAGGAGCTTCAGGTGTCTGTCATTACAGGACCCTGAAAAGAAAGTGACAGAGTAAGGTGGGAAGATAAGGTGAAAATGCTAACACTGGAGCAACAGTGATGGGGTGGGGGATTGTGTGTACTTAGGGGTTTAAGACACTTAGTAGTAGGAAGGAGGAAACAGATGTGCCTGAGGCCTGTGGTATGGCTCTGGCTATAGAAAAAGGGATGTAAAGAACTACACAAACTGGTAATGTTGAAGCTTTGAAGAACTTTGGAGAGTAGAAGCCTAGAAGGGGAAACTCACATTTGTTTCACTCTGACGTCAGGTGTTTGTTCCCATTTTACATATGGGGGGAACTGAATTTCAGATTAATTGTCCAAGGACAAAAGCTGTTGAGTAGAAAGGCTGACACTTCATTCCATCTGCCTGATGACTTAAAAGCACCCAGATCACCTGGCTCCATGAAGCCGGTGTGTCCTGTGGGATGGGCATGAGGGGTAGGCCAGGAGGTGGGGCTGTGGGGCTGTGGGCCCCTGAACCCTTTATTCATCTAGAACTAAATTTTTTTTCACTTTTTCCATGTCACTTTTTTTTTTTTTTTTTGGAGATGGAGTCTCGCTCTATCGCCCAGCTGGAGTAGAGTGGTGCAATCTCGGCTCACTGTAATCTGTGCCTCCCAGGGTCAAGCAGTTCTGCTGCCTCAGCCTCCCAGGTAGCTGGGAGTGTGGGCATGTGCCATCCCACCCAGCTAATTTTTTGTATTTTAGTAGAGATGGGGTTTTACCATGTTGCCCATGCTGTTCTCAAACTCCTGACCTTATGATTTGCCTGCCTTGGCCTCCCAAAGTGTTGGGATTACAGGCATGAGCCACCTCGCCTGGTCTCTATGTTACTTCTACATGAGAATTTATCTGGAGAGGAAAAAGGGTTCTCAGACTTGGACAACCATTGATATAGTTCAGCTTTCTCATTTCACTGATACGAGAAAAGGATTCAGAGAATTCAAGTGACTTCTTCACAGCTGCAGAAAGGCAGGGCTAAGATAGACACATTACACCCACCACCCCCCTGCACCAGTCCCGTTGTCCCCTGGCATCCATAGTCTTTCTGCTGGGCTCCTTGGCTGCTTCTCTGGAGCAGTGTTGACACTGGCTACCTAGTGAGAAGTGTTTTATTTAAAAGTGTGTGTGTGTGTGTGTGTGTGTGTGTGTGTGTGTGTGTATATAGTAGTAGTAGTAGTTTTAAAAAATAAAAGTCTTAGATATCAGCTTCAGAGATGTAACTGTCTTTCATAATATAAGTGATGTTTGCCAGGAATATTATACTAAATTTGTTAGACATATTTGTGGAATATCTGTGATAGCAGTTTGAAAATTAGTATGTATTATTTGTTGCCTTTTATGCCATTGTTTCCTTTTCTTGATGTTTTCAAAGCTGGCGAATCCTACACAATGATATGTTATACTCCTAATCTGCATCTTTTAAATACGTGGGACATTTAACTTAATACAGACTCTTGGCCTCTGCTTGAAGAATAGTATAAAGTAGAAGGATTATCATAATTTACTCATTATAACCCATCCTGTCTGTTCTGTACAGTTGCACCCAGATTTTTATCCTACAAATTTGGTTAGCACAAATGAGGGAAATTATGAAATGCCTAAGGAAAATTGAAATTCATGTAGGAGATGGGTAGAGGAATATTCAGGAGTTCAAGCAGAATAGGAGTAACCCAACTACACTGCTGGCAGTTTCTGATCTAAATGGTACGGTGGGGAAAACCCAACCAGATCAACAGAAAAGACAAATTTTTAATAAAAGTAAATTTCTTACATTGAACAAATTTAATTTTATGAAAAGTGCATTACAAAGCGTTTATTTAACTCATTTCTCTGTGGGACTGTTGAAATGTTTGTCAGACTGGATTACTTTCAAAAAGTTAATGTTAGGCTGGGCAAGGTGGCTCACACCTGTAATCCCAGCACTTTGGGAGGCCGAGGGGGACAGATCACGAGGTCAGAAGTTCGAGACCAGCTGGCCAATATGGTGAAACCCTGTCTCTACTGAAGAATACAAAAATTAGATGAGTGTGGTGATGCACGCCTCTCCTGGCTGTTCAGGAGGCTGAGGCAAGAGAATCACTTGAACCTGGGAGGCGGAGGTTGCTGTGAGTGAAGATCATGTCACTGCACTCCAGCCTGGGCAACAGAGTGAGACTCTGTCTCAAAAAAAAAAAAAGTTAATGTTAATGTTTTTGGGGAACCATACTTCATGACAAGATTATTTATAATTACTATTGGCTGGTTATAAGATGGTTTGCTCGTTTGTTAGTATTTTACTTTTTTTTTTGGAAACAGAGTCTTGTTCTGTCGCCCAGGCTAGAATGCAGTGGTACAATCTTGGCTCACTGCAGTCTCTGCTTCCTGGGTTCAAGTGATTCTCTTGCCTCCACCTCCTCAGTAACTGGGATTACAAGTGCCTGCCACCACACCCAGCTAATTTTTAGTATTTTTATTAGAGACGGGGGTTTTACCGTGTTGGCCAAGCTGATCTCAAGCTCCTGACCTCTGGAGATCCCGCCTCAGCCTCCCAAAGTGCTGGGATTACAGGTGTGAGCCACCACACGCACAGTGCTTTGCTTTTTATGGAAACACTGGATACAACATTCAGAGATATTTTAAGGGCCTTGTTTTAACTTTGTTTCAACTGTTTTAAGTAAATTCCTTAATTTTTATGCCAAATTTGATATTTGAATTTTGAAGTTGCTTTTTAAAGTTCATTTGAGATGTAAAAAATTAAATTGCCTTTAAAATTAATGAACTGGGGGCTGCAGTGGCTCAGGCCAGGTGTCCCGGCACTTGGGGAGGCGAGGCTATGCGTTCGAGGCCAGCCTGGGCAACATAAGAACCTTCATTCATTTAAAAAAAAAATTAATGAATTAACCTTTAAAGTTCATCTCACTCTTTAGAGTGTTCTTGAGAGCACTCAAATGATGATTAAAAGGAGTATGTTATTTTTGGATTATGCCAAATTATTTATTTTCCAGTGTTCCTAAACCCAAAGGAAAGAAAACCAAAGATATGAAAAAACCTGTCAAAGTACCTGCTGAACAACAAACAATGGTAGGTCAAAATTATATTTATATCTCTTTAGCAGATCTTGCTATTTAAGCTGTATAATGATCTAAAGATGTAAATGTGTATTTGGTGAGCCATTCCCTAGAGAACCTGCAAAGATGTGGATCCGTCAACAGTTTTGCTTGATAAAGGTAGCATTTGTGTATATAATGTATTTTTAAAATTAAAGTAAAAAGAAGGACATTGGAAATGCTAGATGGTACTAGAATAGTTACTATTGTTTTCCATTACTTTTCAATCTAAAGCCTTGGTGATAAGAATTACATGTCAAGTTCTGGAGATTAATTTTGAAGCATAAACTCTTCCTCTGTTCTACTAGACCATGAGGTACATGCTATTGAAACCCTCAGGATCCTTAAAGTGAATTGTGTTAGTGGTATTTAACCTCCAAGAACATCTGCCTTTGTTGAACTTGTTTATTAGCTGTCCATTCTGTTAAAACATCTTTATTTTACAATTGTTTGATTCTTTATCTTGACATTAAAACCTAAACAATACTTTCAAGTGATAACACTTGCTTTTATTTATGATTTTTTGCCCTTCTCAGAGTGATGTTCTTATCAACTGCACAACCTGCCATAGTGAATTTCCATCTCGAAATAAACTTTTTGACCATCTGAAGGCCACAGGTCATGCAAGAGCACCTTCATCATCATCTTTAAACAGTGCAACAAGTAGTCGAAGCAAGAAAGAGAAACGTAAAAACAGATAGAGATTCTGCCTATGCCTTTTGTTTGACTGTCTCTAGATTTTGAAACCAAAAAACTGAACTGAAATCATCTAAAGAGTTAAAATTTCAGTGATCTGCAATTAATTGCATTGTGGAAGATTATTTTTTACCTTGTAAAAACTTTTTTTGGTTCAATATATATATTTTAAATATTACACTAGTGATTGAATTCTACTTTTGCCATCTGAATTGACTTGAATATCTTAAAACAGGTAAATACTGTAAAGTATGTATTCTTGATGTTTGTTGGCTCCTGTGGATAGAAATATACAGGGAGAATTACATTATTTTAACACATGGAAGTGCTCCTTTCTGCTTTATTTTGTGAATTTCACATTATTTTTATTTATTTAATGCTTTTATATTTTGTTAATGCTTTATAATATGTCAAAAACTCGCATCTTTTAAAAAGCATCATAGATCATTTTTCCACTTGACATCATGACACTGGCTCTGATTTTTAAAATTATTTTTAAATAACTGATTATTGATTAATGTATCTTTTTTCTCAAGAACAGTGATAGAAACTAATTGAACATTTGTGGTTGTCTTTCAAGAATAGTATCTCTTCAATGTTTTACTATGTTGATTTAATTTGATATTTTACTGGTTTACCAGCAAGATATATTGTTCAGTTTTTTGCTCAGATTGAAATTGTGGAGGTGGAAGCAAATTAGTTCACATGGCACGTCCTCCCTAGGCACAGTAACAGCTGTAAAGTAGGATGGAACAAGGTAGCAGATGGTACAGAATTTATGCTATTTAACAAGAGATGTGTTTATTCATTGGGTTTTTTTCTTCACTATTTTCAGAAGTTTTCTTTTTTTTCTATCATTCAATGGAGAAAAATTTTGTTAATGAAAGATGTTGTGATAGAGCTGATGCTTATACCATCTATTTTATAGCAATGATGAATATTAACACGAAATATGGAGAACTGTTATAACTGAGCGTTTTAACTGAGTGTTGTAACAGTCATGTACATTGATTAGTGATGAGTCCATTTTTAGGATGGATTAGTCAGTTCTTTTAATTGGTCTTGAAAGTAATTTTAAACTAACCGACTTGAAATGTATACTTTGTAAAGTTAGTGCTTTCCATATATCCTTGAATCTTCAGATGAATAATATGAACAAATTTTCGGTTATAGATCAGCTCTAAAACACTTGAGTTCCTAAAGGCAAGGTCTTTTCTTATAGCTTCATGGATAGTATTGATGATCGGTCGTCTTCTGTTACCGACTTAAAAAAAAGTATTTGAACCTTAAATTTTTTTCTTTTCCATTTAGAGATACATTTTTTTTACTTTTCTTTCATACCTTTCTATTTCTTGCTAATTTCTATCACTAATTCCTTATAACTGTCTCTGCTCCCCTTCTTGATCTCTTTAGGGAGAATACTAGCTAGCTTTGTATCTTCTGATCTCTTATCCAGAGACTTCATCTGAATGTGCTGTACCTTCTTTGTATCTAAACTAGATGAATTGGCCATAATTATGAATAGGAATAGTAATAAACCAGAGGACATACTAGTCACATGTTATTATACAGTAAAAAATATGAAGTCATCTTGAAAGGCAAATAATGTACTGCAGATGTCCCTTATGACTTCTTTGCTTTCTCTTGTACTGAACATGCAGGTTTTTAATTTGTTTCATGAGCATTGATTGGAGTTACTTGTCACTTTTATTCAGATCAACAAAAACCAACCATAATTTTCAAGGGATCTTCATGAGTTGTGACTGGAAGCTGACCTGAGTCTTGGCGTTTCATCCTTTGTGATGTCAAAAAAATCATCTAGTTTCTCAGAACTTTTTCTTATCTCTAACACGGTTCTTAGCGTTATAATATTGTCTCCATTTATCATCCAGTGATCATAGGATCATTATGAAGGTCAAATGAAATAGTATATATGAAAATGCTTTTTAAACACAAAAGCTTTATACAAAATATTGTTAAATTTGAATAAGGTAAATCTTTTTTAGTTTATATATTTGCAGACAAAAGTGTATATGTTGGATTAAATGGGCAATTAAGTTTTATAGGAATTTACTTCCTAAGTCTGTATCTAAAGAGGAACATACCATATATTATACTAAGGGTAAAATATTTTTGGTGAATTGCAGACATTTAATTTCACTTGTCTGAGGCAAAACAATAAAATACATGGGCATGAATTTTACATTGATCTCATTAGAGGTCAGTTCTAAGTACCTATCTTGATTGAAGTTAGCTCCGATGTGGAGATTCATAGAATGAGGGTTCCAGGAGGAGACGGTTAAGGAAATCCCATTTTCTTTCTGTAATTCATTAAATGGTCCCAAAGCTGGGGGTTCCCTATAAAGCCCATTTAGACTTTCTCTACTTCAAAATAAGGGCAGGATCATTAGCTCTAGCCAAGCATTTTTCTAATTCCTGCCTTTGGCCACAAAGAAGAAAAAGCAAATCTGTGAATGAATTAGTGGAAGGTCAGTCACATCAGAGCTCATGTCCTAGTGATTGCTGGTGAGGTAATATTGACATTTTGGGACCATGAAAAGACATATAAAGAATTTCATCAGAAGTTTTAATTTTCTCTAAGTGTTCCCCTCCAAAATTTTCAAATTGGAAACTACTCTTGTAGAAGATTGTCTGTAAAATTGTGGTTTAACTCATGCAGAAAGTAAAATTCTTATAGCAAGGCATAGTTTCATTTTAGAGCACCACCAAAAGCCCATGAATACTCTGTGTAACCTTCAACATAAAATAATGAAGAGAACTTTTAGACTCTTATGAATTCCTAAAATTATTATTTATGTGGTAAAAGTTCTGTTTCCTATAATCTGCAATGCTGAAGTATCACTACTCAATTTCCATTCCTTACCTGTTAAGTTTAATGCCTTTATACTAAAATTATAGGCTCTTGGGATTGGAGAGGAAAATAGAGGTGATTTTCAAATTTCTTGTTCCATGGAAGAGGAAGCTGAGCTCAGGGATATATGAGCTTTACAGCCACAGATGGTTAGGGGCTCCTGCCATTAAAACAAGGCAGATGCCTGGACTCCCGACTCAGTAGGCCTTCTGCTACACCCCAAAATGTGTTACAGGGAAGAAAAAGATTACTTTTAAGAAAAAGCAAGATAATTTTGAAGAAGGCCAAGAGGGAAAGGCATGAACTTGTCCTAACAATATCAAAGAATATTTTAAATGTATACCAGTTAAAGCAGTGTGTGGCTGGTGCCAGTAGAGGTCAGTCAAGGAATCTCTGATAAGAATAAAGAGCCCAGAAACAGGTACATGTTTATATGGGAACTTGATTTTTGACAGATAAGGCAAGCTCTCTGGGGAAAACAATATGTACTACCTTCTACCCTTCCCCAAAAACAAATGGATTAAAGACCTAATATGAAAAGCAAAACTTTTAAATGAGAATCTATAAGGTTATTTTTCATTTTGCAAATGGGAAGGATTTTTTAAAAACGAGGCAAAAGCACACACAGGAAAAAAGGACTGTGTTAAAAAAGAAATGGCTTCTATAGAACAATAGATGCTGTGAATAAAAGAACAAGCTACAGTCAGGAAGGAAATGTTTGCACTTCATATAACTGACAAAGGATTTGTATCTGGAATACATTAAAAAATGAAAGAACCTCTTACAAAAGTCACTGAGAAAATGACAGCCATGCATTAGAAACTTATGGTCTCAAGATTTCTTTACACTCTTCAAAAGTGAGAACCCGAAAGTGTTTTTGTGTATGTGGATTAAGTCTATTGATATTTTCTGTTAGAATTCAAAAATTAGTTATTAAAAAATAATAAAAATGACTAGTTTTCAAAACAAAAGCTTAATGAGAAGAGTGGCATTGTTTTACATTTTTACAAATCTCTTTAACATGTAGCTTAATAAAAGATAGCTGACCTCTCATACCTGCTTCTGCAATCTGTCTACCGCTTTGTGCTTTGGTTGAAGTAGGTGAAGGAGAAAATCAGCCTTACATGGATAGGTAATTGTAGGAAAAAAAAATGGGACCTTGCATACCCAGTGAATGGGCCTCAGGGGACCCTTAGGGTCCTTGGACCACACTTACAACTGCTGCATTAGAAAAATGGATATACTATATGAACAGAAAAATCCTGAATAGTCAAAAAAGTGGAAAGATTATTACTGCCTGATAATAAGTGAAATGGGATCTAATGTTTTCATGCTTTCAGATTAGCAAAAGGTAAAAAGTCACAAGATCTAGTGTTGGTGAGAATGGAGCAATGGGAATGAACACATTCACTTCTTTTGGAGTAAAAACACGTTCAATTTGATGATGTCTAAGAAAGCTGAAGTTGGCATATTCTGTGACCCAACAATTCTAGGTATACACTTAGAGTCTCACTTCTCAAAGTGTGGGCCACAGAGCAGTGGCATGGGCTTTACCTGGGAAGTCGGCACCCCTCAGGTCCTGACCTGGAGTTGCTGCATCAGACTCTGTGGTTAGGATTTCTTAGGTGACTCATGCTCATGAAAGCGTGAGAAGCAATCCTCTGGAGAAACCATGCACAAGTGTACAAGGAGATGTACAAGAAGGCTCACAGCTGAATTATTTGTATCCCAGAAAAGGTGGAAATAACTTAAATGTTCATGAGCAAGAAAATGGATAAATAAATTGTGACCTATTTATAGATGGTAGACAGTTGGAGCAGTTAAAAGGAATGAACTTGATCTGTAACGTGGATGGCCCTTGAAAAAATACTGAATGAAAATAGCTGTCACAGAAGGTGAAATGCATGTCTTTTATACTGTTTAAAAAAACACTATGTGGATTGTTAGTTTTAGAAAGAAAATAAAGAAATAATGAGAAAGCAGTTGCTCTGAACTCAGAAGGAGAAGAGTGGAACTGCTCGTGGCTGCAAAAGGGCTCTCTTCCGTGTCAATTTTTTTTTTTTTTAAAGGATCAGAAGGAAGATGTAAACATTTATTAAATTCTGGATGGTGGGTCCATGGGGATTTATTACTCTGGTTCTCACAAATACTTCAACTATCAAGAAAAGTACAGATGAATGTCCCACTTTGCTAGTAGAATATATACACTTGGATGAAGGGAAAGATGAAAGGATTTAAGTTCTACTTTTTATTCCTGGCACACTCGTTAAGCACACTGTGGCAGAGGCTCTTGTCTCTCAATATTCATTCTCCTTTTTATTTATTTATTTATTTATTTATTTATTGCATTTTAGGTTTTGGGGTACATTTGAAGAACATGCAAGATTGTTACATAGGTACACACATGGCAGTGTGATTTGCTGCCTTCCTCCCCTTCACCTATATCTGGCATTTCTCCCCATGCTGTCTCTCCCCAACTTCCCTCCCCCCACTGTCCCTCCCGTATTTCCCCCCAACAGACCCCAGTGTGTAGTGCTCCCCTCCCTGTGTCCATGTGTTCTCATTGTTCAACACCCACCTATGAGTGAGAACATGCGGTGTTTGATTTTCTGCTCTTGTGTCAGTTTGCTGACAATGATGGTTTCCAGGTTCATCCATGTCCCTACAAAGGACAGGAACTCATCGTTTTTGATGGCTGCATAATATTCCATGGTGTATATGTGCCACATTTTCCCTGTTCAGTCTATCATCGATGTGTCTTTGTTGTCGTTGCTTTCGAAGAACATCTTTATCTGCCTTCATTTCATTGTTTATCCAGTCAACGTTCAAGAGCCAGTTGTTCAGTTTCCATGAAGTTGTGTGATTCTGAATTAGTTTCTGCATTCTGAGTTCTAACTGGATGCACTGTGGTCTGAGAGACTGTTTGTTTTGATTTCTGTTCTTTTGCATTTGCTGAGGAGTGATTTACTTCCAATTATATGGTTAGTTTTAGAGTAGGTGTGATGTGGTGCTGAGAAGAATGTATATTCTGTGGATTTGGGGTGGCGAGTTCTGTAAATGTCTAAGGTTTGCTTGTTCCAGGTCTGAGTTCAAGTCCTGGATATCCTTGTTAATTTTCTGTCTTGTTGATCTGTCTAATATTGACAATGGGGTGTTAAAATCTCCCACTATAATTGTGTGGGAGTCTAAGTCTCTTTGTAAGTCATTAAGAGCTTGCCTTATGTATCTGGGTGCTCCTGTATTGGGTGCGTATATATTTAGGATCGTTAGCTCTTCTTGTTGCATTGATCCTTTTACCATTATGTAATGTCCTTCTTTGTCTCTTTTGATCTTTGTTGCTTTAAAGTCTATTTTATCAGAGGTGAGAATTGCAACTCCTGCTTTTTTTTTTTTTTTTTTTTTTGCTCTCCATTTGCTTGGTAAATCTTCCTCCATCCTTTTATTTTGAGCCTTTGTATGTGAGATGGGTTTTTTGAGCCTTTGTATCCTTGCATGTGAGATGGGTTTCCTGGAAACAGCACACTGATGGGTTTTGGCTTTTTATCCAATTTGCCAGTGTGTGTCTTTTGATTGGGGCATTTAGTCCATCCACACATATTGTTATGTGTGAATTTGATACTGCCATTTTGATGCTAGCTGGCTGTTTTGTGCGTTAGTTGATGCAGATTCTTGATTGTGTCGATGCTCTTTACCATTTGATATGTTTTTGGAGTGGCTGGTACTGGTTGTTCCTTTATATGTGTAGAGCCTCCTTCAGGAGCTTTTGTAAAGCAGGCCTGGTGGTAATGAAATCTCTGAGTACTTGCTTGTTCGCAAATGATTTTATTTTTCCTTCACTTATGAAGCTTAGTTTGGCTGGATATGAGGTTCTGGGTTGAAAGTTCTTTTCTTTAAGGATGTTGAATATTGGCTCCCACTCCCTTCTGGCTTGTAGGGTTTCTGCTGAGAGATCTGCTGTGAGTCTGATGGGCTTCCCTTTGTGGGTAACCTGACCTTTCTCTCTGGCTGCCCTTAGCATTTTCTCCTTCATTTCAACCCTGATGAATCTGACGATTATGTGCCTTGGGGTTGCTCTTCTTGAGGAATATCTTTGTGGTGTTCTCTGTATTTCCTGGACTTGAATATTGGTCTGCCTTGCTAGGTTGGGGAAGTTTTCCTGGATAGTATCCTGAAGAGTATTTTCCAGCTTGGATTCATTCTCTTCATCACATTCAGGTACACCTATCAAATGTAGATTAGTTCTTTTCACATAGTCCCACATTTCTTGGAGACTTTGTTCATTCCTTTTTGCCCTTTTTTCTCTATTCTTGCCTTCTCATTTTATTTCATTGAGTTGATCTTCGACCTCTGATATCCTGTCTTCTGCTTGGTCAATTCGGCTGTTGAAACTTGTGCATGCTTCGCGAAGTTCTCGTGTTGTGTTTTTCAGCTCCATCAATTCACTTATATTCCTCTCTATGTTGTCCATTCTCGTTAGCATTTCGTCAAATCTTTTTTCAGGATTCTTAGTTTCTTTGCATTGGATTAGAACATGTTCTTTTAGCTCAGAGAAGTTTCTTATTACCCACCTTCTGAAGTCTGATTCTGTCATTTCATCACACTCATTCTCCATCCAGCCTTGTTCCCTTGCTGGTGAGGAGTTGTGATCCCTTGTAGGAGGAGAGGTGTTCTGGTTTTTGATGTCTACATCCTTTTTAGGCTGGTTTCTTTCCATCTTTGTGGATTTGTCCACCTGTTGTCTTTGTAGTTGCTGACTTTCAGATTGGTTCTCTGGGTGAACTTCCAGTTTGTGGATGATGAAGTTATTTCTGTTTCTTAGTTTTTCTTCTAACAGTCTGGCCCCTCTGCTGTAGGACTGCTGAGGTCCACTCCAGGCCGTGCTTGCCTGGGGATCACCTGCATCACCTACAGAACAGTAAGGGTTACTACCAGTTTCTTCTTCTGCTACCTTTGTCCCAGAAGGATACCTGCCAAATGTCAGTCTGTTCTCTCCTTTATGAGGTGCCTCTTTGGACATACAGGGGTCAGGGAGCTGCTTGAGGAGACGGTCTGTCCTTTATTGGAGCTCAAATGCTGAGCTGTGAACTCCATTTTTCATTCAGAGTTGCTGGGCAGGCACTTTTAGGTCTGCTGGAGCAGAACTCATAAATTCATTTTTTTTTTTTTCCCCAAGTGCTCTGTCCCAGGGATTTAGGGCTTTATGAGTTTCTGTTGTGCTGCTGCCTTTTTTTTTTTCAGGGCTGCCCTGCCTAGCGAGGAGGCAACCTAGTCACTGTCTGCCTGCAGAGGCTTTGCTGAGCTGCTGTGGGCTCCACCCAGCTGCCCTGTGAACTTCCCTGCAGTCCTGTTTATATGGGTGTAGTTAGAACTGCCTCGGCAATGGTGGCCCACCTCTGTAATGGCGGACCCTCTCTCTAATGGCAGGTTGCCTTGGCAATGGTGGGTTGCCTTGGCAATGGTGGGCTGCCTCAGCGATGGTGGACTACCTCTGTAGTGGTGGAGTGTCTCGGTAATGGCGTATGCCCCTCCCCCACAGAGCTGGACCATCCCAGGTTCAGCTGCGCTTGCTGTGAAACTCTCAACCCAGAGCGTTTTCAATTGCTGTTTTGTTTTTTTGTTTTGTCAGGGTCGGTACAGCCGAGCCTGATCAGCTGACTCCCTGACTCAGAGTTGTTTTTTTTTTTGTTTGTTTGTTTGTTTTTAGTTGAACAGTTGACTCTCTCCCAGGTGTTCCAGTCGTCTGTTGAAAAGGCACTGGGATCTGTGTGATTTCCTGTGCGGAGACTCACTGCACCAGCTGTAACAGCAGTGCTGAGATGCGTGGCAGTTTTTTTTTGCCCAGGAATCTCCTGGCCTGGCTCCCTCTTTCAGTTCCTTTTTAAATCAGATGAATGGGCGATCTGCCTTCCCGGGTCTCCAATTGCCAGCTAAAAGGGCACCCGGACCAGCGTATTTTGTAAGGAGAACCACTGTAGCGCCGGCAAAGTAGCTGCACTGGTTGCACTGGCCAAAACAGCTGCGCTGGCAACCCGTGGGGCTCCTCTGCCTGGGAA